ATATCACTAACCTTGGAAATAATTTACTTTTTCAGAGAGTTCAAAAGTGAATAATAATAAATATTACTTTTAGTTGGAATAAATATTTTGTTACAACAATAAATATTTATTTTTGAACGAAAAAATAGACCTTCGTTGGAGAGAACATTCCTTGTTTGGCTGTCTACTTTTGTTCTTGATCTTTACCACAATTTAGAAGGGCATTGTCTATCTCTGCTTCCACCTCTTTCACCTACAAAATTTTACAAAAAACAATCATCTGAAATTAATCTTATTAAATCTTTATTTATTTATATTTTCCCATTTCCTAAGTATCAATCATTTATTAGCATCTACAAAAATCGAAATAAACTATATAGGTGCACTGTGGAAACGTACATTCTCGTTAATAGTTTGCAAAACATTACGAGAGACGTAAATCACATTAGGTTAATTGACACATACTCACTCGTTCTAACCGCTAGATTGCCCCTTACGGGACAACTAAAGCGACACTTGTAATTAATCAGTGAGGTGTTAATAAATTCCTAAACTCGAAATTAAATTAGATCAAATATGTATTTATGCAGTTGATTGTACTTATAATTATTAAAGTTATAACCCTCACATGTCTTATGGTCAGTGACTCAGTGAACAAATATAATTAAATCTTTTTGTATGTATTTATTTATTAAAAATGAATTAAAATGAATGAGAAGGGTAGGAGGCAGGTGAGATATTAAATTACATTTTAAATTCAAGAAAAATTGGATGGTGACTTGGAAAGAATCATCACCATGTGGTTCTTGCAGGCCTTGAGAATAATTTTAGTGACTTATTGCCTTTTTTTTCAGAATAATTTTAGTGATATAGTGACGTGGGCAATAAAGTTGTGTTATGGGATATTCAAATTTTAATTTCCTTTTACTTAACTTAATGTTTGACTAAGAAATCTACTTTACTTTCTTAAAAAATCATTATACAATTTATAAATTAAAAAATATATACTTATATTAAAAAATCAATCTTAAAATATTTATTTATAATATTATTATTTCAAGTGAATTCTAAAAATGAAAAAAATGTTTTATTTTAAATTGCTAAAAACTCCATATATTATTAATTTTAGCAAAAATCTTCTTATAATGCATTTTACAACACGCAACCCTCCAAACGGCGAGTTTTTAGGGGGTAATTTGCTAAAAAAAAATTAATCGGTTTAACCTTTTTGCTAATAAAAATATATAATTTTTTTTAACAATTAGAAGTCAACTTATAGGGTGAATGCCAAATGCAACCAATAGGTAAATATAATATTTATTATGATGTAATAAATATATGCATAGAGTCAGTCTATTATTAAAAATAAAATATAAAGATGAATATGAATATTATTATACTTTATTAAATTAACCTCATATAATTTTTAGATCAATTTCTAGAGGTGAAATAATTAATTAATTAATTAATTGAATATATTGATTAATGAAATGATGAGAGTGAAGAAATAATCAAAAACTAACCTTGTGAACAAGATCTTCAGCTTTCTTAGCTTCTTTGACAGCCGTTTTAGCTAAATCCTCAAAAGAATCCAATGCTTCTTTAAGCTTCGAATCGCCGGGAAGTTTCGCCTCCACCTCCTCCATTATTTGATCCGCCTTCTCCGCCATCTCCTCCACCACCTCCGTCACGTGCTCCACCGTCTCTATTGCTTGATCAATCTTCCCTATTTTTATTTTTATATTATTATAATATATAAATATATATATATATATATATATTTTCATACAAGGTTAATTAAAATATTTTTTTTGGAAAATTATATATTACCTTTTAGGCCTAATAAAAGCCCTCCCTTGTGACCAGCTGCAGGTAGGATCAAAGTAAATAATATTCCCATTAACCATTTTTTCCTGCAATTGATTAATTAATAAACAAGGAAAATTAATTTACGCATCGATTTTTTTTTTCCATGCACAAGATAAAACTATAAATTAGTATTATATTATATATATATGATTACCATGAAGATGAAGAAGGTTCTGGAGAACCAGATGAAGAAGCCTTAGGTTTAATGGTTCTTGAAATGGATATATCCCTGTATGTATGTATGTATATATATATAATCACATATTCCAGTACCAAACATATATATATATAATTAAAAGTAAAATGAAAATTGAAGAACATATACATACCTATAACTAATACCGTATTTAGCGGTGCACGTTAGCAAAAGACGAGGCGGCCGATCGATCTTTTTAGGGTTTTCGATTATCGTTGTCGAATTACGAGAGTATCGTTTTGTGGCGAAAACCGCCATAGTAACAGCTCTTAGATCCTGAACTTGAGATTTTAGTGAGCATGACTTTTGATTTTTTGAATTTTGAGAGTAATTGTTAAAATGAGAGGAATATATGTATATGTATATGTACATATACAAATTAAATAAAAGTGGGTCATTTAATAATAATTATTATTAAATGAGGTGTTCTTGCAGGTAAAATTTAATTTTGGGATCAAATGGATAATTTTATTATAATACAAGTTGAGATGTAGTATGTGCAATTTTCTTGATTGCAATCAATTTATTTATTTATTTTATTATTTTTTATTTTGCAATGAATTTATTTGGTTTGATGAAACACGTGGGTGCGTGGACTTTGTATTAATTAATCCTAGCTGTCATTTGAACCAAACACTTTAGGGTTTGTCGTATGATTAGGTGAGGAAGTTAATAGTGATTAGTAGTTATTGCTATGATTAGAGTGTTGGATATTTTGGTCATTTCCCATCTCTCTACTCGACCTGTTGGGCTTCGAATCTTGATGCCCGTTAAAGGTAAATTAAAAGAACAAATGGATAATAAAAATTGGAGATCCAATCCAAATGTTAAAAGAATTGGTAATTATTTAAGGACCAACATGTAGGGATGTTTATTCGTGTAATAATGTACTGAACCGTATCGGAATTTTAGTAAATTGAAAAATTTGTAACATTTACTGAACAAACTATTTAGTTCGGTACAACTTTTTACCGAATTAAGTCGGGTTTTTTTCGTTGTACTGGTAAAACGAAAATATATTTTAATATTTTATAAAATATATATATTTAAAATAATTAATTCTTGAATTCGACATTCACATTTCAACAATCAGTTTTAAAAAGCAAAAATAATTATTAATAGAGGCTAATTTATAAATAATGGAAGAAAACAAATTATCAATCTAAAAGTATTTTCTAATTTGTTATAACTTATAAAATACACTAAATAAGATTAAATAATTGAATTAAACATGAAACGTGGTTTCAACCAAACGCGACCTCAGGGAACCATGAAAAGGTTGTGAAGGGACGAATGCCACATGCATATGTAACGATTTGAATAATGGGGCTATATGACAAACACCATTCATTGAAATTTTACTTCTTGATAAATCCTTTATTTATAAATAATATTTGACATAAATTCAATGGGCCTGAAATACCATATATGCCCCACTAAT